AAGAGAGTTTTTACAGATTTCATTTCTGCTCAGACTGGACTTTTCCCCTTTGGTCATTTGACCTCAAGTTATTTTTTTATGATTTCCCAAGGACACAGTTCTGTAAATGCTGTTCTACATGGTGATTATCCTGGTGGCATCCCTGGAGATGCCGAGTCTACAGTACTCACAATTATGATCAAGGTCCCAATGAATGTAATTAGAGAAGAATCACCCTTGGAGATGCACCTACTGGATGACTCAGTAATCCATGTTGCAGTTCCAATGTAGATAAAATGTTTACAGGCCTTTGTCCTTACCTCAGAGAGTGTTTGTCTGTATTGCTATTTACATGACGAGCTTTTTCAGGAATTGAAATGATGGATTCACTGCATAAAGTATGTATAAGAAACCATTCTCCATCCTTCAGGTAACCCAAGTTCAACAATGCTGTATGAAGGCAGGCCAGTGTAACTGATTAAGCATCATGATGATGTAAAGGCTGTTTCACTGTTTTATCTTTTGTTACTATAAAACACAAACTGTAAAATATTTATCCAAATAATTCATACACAAGTCACAATTTTCACTCCTATGAAAATGTTGATTTAACAATGTTTGTTATTAGGACAAATTCTGCCAGAAATGAATATTTTGGGTCTCTGTTCACAATCAAGATTCAGAATTCTTTAGGTAACAGGACATTCATATTCCTTTTGAAAATCCCAACAATTTGAAAGGCAGGATTTTTTCAGAAACACTGAGATGAGTTAGATTTCCCAGCAGCATGGAAAGAGTTGGTCCCATGGAAACAGTTCAGGGTTAGTGATGGGACATATGTTGTCTTGCTCTCCGTGTCCACAGAGATGGCATCAGTGCAGGGAGGGCAAGAGAGAGGACACCATGGCCCAGAACATAGATTGAGTGGCTTTCTTGTTATGCAGGTAACCCAGGGAATATATTTATCCATAAGATTCTGAACTAGACTTTACATTGTGCAAGAGGACATTGCTGGTGTGAAAATTCACAGTCTTATAAAATTTCTCTGATGTGTTTCTTGTGAACAATCATGTCCTGTGTGAGTACTGAAATATGTGGGGATTAATCGAATTCTGTAATAGTGTTTGGATATTTTCATATTATAAAGATCCAGAATAAATTTATTTTCCCTAGCATCAGTATTCTTGCAAACTAATTTTAAGTGTAACTACTTGGGTACATTTTAATATGCAGATATTTATATAGATCTCCTGATAGTTTCAATTAATAGGATCTGAAAGCATTTTTTGTTAATCTGTTAAAAAAATTGTATGATGCAGCATTTGTAGAACTCGACTGAGTGACTTTCAGAAATCCAAGTTCACATTGTAGTTAGCAAGCTGTTCCTTGAATTTCAATATACAGGTGAGTTTCGGCATTTTATCATTATATTTTTATTGGCCATTTCATTGTAGTCTTCCTTTAATTGCCTATTTATATGATTGATCCACTTTGCTATTGGTGTGTTTGTCTTTCATTTGTTAATTACCTAAATCTCTTTTGTCTATTTTAGATATTAACTCTGTGTGTAACCGGTAACATGCAAATGTTTTCCCCAAACTACTTTTGTCTATTAACTTTGTTGAATATATCCCTAAATCCTTAACAAAATTTGATATTGTCCATTTCAGATTTCAGTGACTACTTAAGAAGGTCTTACACCTCTAAAATATAGAAAGTCATCTCCTTTATTAACTAGAAAGTAAACATAAATTAAATCTTGCTGTAGTTTTTTATTAAAACTTGAATAAATTTTTATTTTTATATACGGTGTTAGCTGTGTGTACAATTTTATTAGCTTCCAGACATAAAGCTATGTGTGGCAACACATTCATTTTATAATGTGTCATTTCTCACACATGTCTCTAATTACTTCTCCTCTAGTCTGTAAGATGGTTGAGGTTAGGGACCATGTTTTAATCGGTCTTATATTCTTATAATCTTGGAAATTACTGCAAGATAACAAATCATAATGCCTATTTGTTAAATGAATAAACAAATTGTCTTCAGATTTCAGAAAGTCACTAGTGATGCAAATATTTACAGGTTATTGTGTCCTGAGCCCTGAAATAAGACATACAGCAGGACCCATGGAACAAAGGAACAATGTGACCGAGTTTGTCCTCTTGGGGCTCACTCAGAGCCCTCAAGGTCAGAAAACATTGTTTGTTGTGTTCTTGTTCATCTACATTGTGACAATGGTGGGCAACCTACTCATTGTTGTGACTGTCGTGGTCAGCCCAACCCTGGATGCCCCTATGTACTTCTTTCTTGGCTACTTATCATTTATGGATGTTGTTTATTCTACTACAATTACCCCAAATATGATTATAGACTTGGTCTGTGAGAAGAAAACCATTTCTTTCCAAGCTTGTATGAGCCAGCTTTTTATGGAGCACTTATTTGGTGGTGCTGAGATTATACTCCTGGTGGTCATGGCCTATGACCGCTACGTGGCCATCTGCAAACCCTTGCATTATTTGACGATCATGAATCAACGAGTGTGCACTCTGCTGCTGCTGCTGGCCTGGGTTGGAGGTTTCTTGCATACTGTAGTTCAACTTCTTTTTGTTTACAACCTTCCCTTCTGTGGCCCCAATGTCATTGACCACTTCGTCTGTGACATGTACCCCTTATTAAAACTTGCCTGCACTGACACCTACATTATTGGTCTCACTGTGGTTGCTAATAATGGCGCCATCTGTGTGGTCATCTTTGTGCTGTTGCTCATCTCCTATGGGGTGATTCTGCACTCGCTGAAGAATCTTAGTCAGCAAGGGAAGCGCAAAGCCTTATCCACCTGTGGCTCCCACATTACTGTGGTGGTCCTGTTCTTTGTCCCTTGTATTTTCATATATGTGAGACCTCCTTGTACCTTACCGATTGATAAGTCCTTGACTGTGTTTTACACCGTTATCACCCCTATGTTGAACCCCTTAATCTATACTCTGAGAAATGGAGAGATGAAAAGTGCCATGCAAAAGCTCTGGACCAGGAAAAGAAAATGAGGCAGCAGAGAAATGTGTCACTTATTTTCAATGAAGAATTGTTGCTTTCAGGAAAGCCTTGTGTGATTATTGAACTGTAGGAAATTTTTCCTGAGGTTCTATGACTTGGGCATAATGAAAAGCATTTATTATGTGCTCTTTGCTGCATCTACTGCGAGGATGAAGACCATTATCTGCAATCAGACTGTTGACATTCCAGAAAAATGTGGATATCACTGTAAAGGGACCACAGTTACTGTGAAAATCCTGAAAGGCACCCTCTAGAGGGACTTCATGCATATTAATGTAGAACTCAGTCTCTTTGGAAAGAAAAAGAAGAGGCTCTGGGTTGATAAATGGTGGGGAAATAGAAAGAAACTGACTGCTCTTCACACTGTGTGTAGTCATGAACAGAACATGATCAAGGGTGTTACATTGGGCTTCAGTTATAAGATGAGGCCTGTGTGTGCTCTTTTTCCCATCAACATTGTTATTCAGGAGAATGGTTCCCTTATTGAAATCCAAAATTTTTTGGGTGAAAAACACATTTGCAGGGCTCAGATGAGGTCTGGTGTTCCTTCTTCCATATCATAAGCCCAGAAAGATGAGTTAATTCTTGAAGGAAAAGATACTGAACTTGTATCAAATTCAGCTGCTTTGATTCAACAAGCCACAACAGTTAAAAACAAGGGTATCAAAAAAATTGAGGATTTTGTGTATGTTTCTGAAAAAGAAACAGTTCAGCAGGCTAATGAATAACATAAGCTGTCTAGCTACAGAAACACCAAAATGTTGAATGATTTTTCAGAATTATTTGTGATATTTTAAAGATGCAATAAAAGTCATGTATTGAAAACAAACATTTATTATGTGAATACTCCCGATGATCAAAAAATATTTTTAAATTGTCATAATTGTGTAATTCAATATATATATATTGTTTAAAATATATTTTTAATATTTTCATAACTTCTTAGGCAAACATATTTTCAGTTTTTGCATGTAAAATGCCTCTTTTGAGACTATAGACTTATGTTCTATGTGATGAGTTTGCTATAGTAAATACTGTAAATTTATTTTAGTTAATGGAAGATTTTTCTCATCTTTCTCTCATAAATAATATAATCTTTTTCAGACTTAATAGTGCTTATTACAGATTTCAGGAGATAAAATAAGAAATAAGATATAAAAAACTTGTTTCACTTATCCCCACACAAAGATAGTTCATATTAATATTTCAAGTATACCTATATCTCATTTTTGAATCTGCAATTTATTTTAAATATATAATTTTAAAAATATTACTTAGCATGTTAAGATTAAAGAAGAATTATGCTTCAGACTTCTAATGTTAATCATGAGTAGGCAACGTGTATAAAAATAATCTGAGTGAACAAGGCAGACACTGAGAAAATTAACTAAATCATATGTATTTTTCTGATTTGGAAATCATATTATCTCTTCATGTGGACCAACTTTATTTGGTGTGATATTTTCATGAAGATGACCTATTAATCTTCCCAGATCATTTAGAATATCTGATAATTCCACTACCACTTTTCAACACCTCATCTACATTTTGCTTATAGTGTTTTATTGCCTTCTATAGAGACCCAGTTCCTGCCTTTATATATAAAATTATAATAACCCATAATCCATGGGCTTCAAATACTCAAACAGAAGTTGACACCAGATATTTTGGGTGATATCATTGTCAAGAAAGATGCTGACAATACATGCTATTCTTATCTCTTTTATTAATGGAATACAGATTATTAGGTAACAAAGAGGCCAGAGGATATTGTTTTATTTGTCAGAGATCTCATTCATTAAATTCTCTCTATGAATCAAGCTTGAACAAAATATTATTTGCCTCAGAGATGGTAGGAAGCATGTAGTCATGATTTTGCTTCTCCATTTAGTCTGAATTCATAAGGGGCTAAGGCTAGAGGGCAGTGTGTCAATTTCAAGGGTAAATCACACTGTATGGAAACATTCTATCTTGAGTTTAATCCCTGTTGTTATTACATGGAGGTTTCTTATATTAAAGTCTTCCCAAGCATAACACTATGCAATAAATATGAAATATGATCAAAATATGTGGTGAATGTTTAAAATAAAAAAATAATCATTTGCAGTAAAAGTCACATTTCCATTAATCCCCCCTCAAAACACTCTCCCTGGCTTCAAACACACTTATCCTATTGTTCTTGCCACTTTCTGAAGCAGTTCTGCAAGTCCTCTTTTGGGAGTGTGTTTAGTTGGGTTGTCATGCCTGCCTCAGTGTCCTGAATCGATTCAAAATGTTTACCTTTCATGGTCCTTTTGACTTTGGGTCAGAGCCAGATGTTGCATGGTGCCAGATCCAGTGAATCAGTTGGATGAGAACACACCATAATGTTTTTATTTGATAGAAATTGCTGTACACCATAGCGATGTGTGACTTGGAGTGTTGTCATGATGGAGGATGATTTACCACACACTTTATTTTCTTTCTTTCTTTCTTTCTTTCTTTCTTTC